GTATATTATTTATCATTGCTGTTGTTGCTGCTGTTTTGTGTTGATGCTTTGGTGTTTTCATAATGTCTTTGTACTGGAGCAAACATCCAAATAAGCATTTTATCACACTTGTGGATATAACAAATAAACTGAACTGATGTGCTCTCTATAAAAAATATTTTTCCTTTAAAAATATTAAAATACATTTTGAAAACGATATTTTCCGCAACATTGAAAATACTGAGCATCAAAATTTCTTATTGCTAGATTGGAAAGCATTTACAAAGTTATCAGGAAAAAGACCATCTTTTTTGTAACAGGTGTACTGACATTTTATTGAACACATATATGCTGTAGTTACACTCATTTTGCTGCTTAACATTCTTTATTAACCGTGTCAATCATCAGGGTGTCCACTGTGAAAATCACAAGTAATAGTGTATGTGACTGATGACAGAAGCAATACACTGTAAATGTACAACACATGCTTAGCCACAGATTACTGATGCTGGCTTGAGTGATTCTCTCCCATTTTTCTAGTAGGGCTTGGATAAGCATGTGTTTTCACTGCTCTCTGAGCTCTACAAGTTACTAGTCATTCAGCTCATCTCACAGATGTTCGATAAGGCTAATATTTGGTGAACAAGACAATCACAATGTAACTGTCATATTCTCATCTCTCAAGAAAGCAGCTGTGACACTAGAAGCTTGAAAATGTGCATTGTCCCGTTGGAATGTCGTCGCATCAGAATGAACCAGTAGAAGTCCAGTAAATGATCAATATAGATTAATCCAATCAATCAATATAAATTGAATTCTAGGGCCACTGGACCAAAACTTTTAGAGCTTCCAACCTGTTGTTCTATTGTTATAAAAATGTGTATATTTCTTGTATGCTTACTGAGGGTTAATTCCTTCAGGGTGCTTTCTACAAAGCCTTGATTCCAAAGGACAGCCCTCTAACTAATTTAGTGCTTATGCACTGCTGAAGTCCATGAAAAAACAGGATGATGCGTTTCTCTTGATACTTCGTATGTTACACACTTCAATATCAATCTACTGCATATATTGCAGTTGAATTCAATATAAATTACAAGCCTAAAGATAAACTTGGACTATGTATAACATTTCACTCTCTGGTTGTTTTTTTAATTTTAATTTCATAGTTGTCCAAGATTTGCATGCGAAAAAACTTTAGAAATCACCCATTAACTGTCATTCATGGACAAAATCAATTTCTCTTCTGCAAAATCCGATATCTAGAAAGCACCAAAGACTAACTGTACTCCATGCTGAAACTTAATTTATGGACCTACTATAAATAAAAATAAATGAAACTTTATATTTTGTACTAGCTAGTGGTTGCCTTCTGATCACCTCTGAACTCACTATTTATAATACAAGGTGATCTTCTCATCTGTTCTCTGATTTATACTGAATATAGTTAATTTATCATGTTTATGTTAAATAGCAAAGATTAGGGCTGGATGTACTTCTACCTACAGGTGCTATTTAATTCATACACAAAATAAGGACCACACAAACCACAAGCCAGCACAAACAGACATACATTTTCACATCATGGCAAAACTTGAACCAATGGCAAAATAGGTTACAAAAAGTTTTCAATTTCAAAACTACAGTATATGCGGATACATCTTGGTATACCATGAAACTACATTGATGTAATATTACTAGATGAAAATTTATAAATGTCACAAAAAGCTGTAGTAGAAAACAGGTCATGGTTTTACATTTGTTCTGATGAATGCAATGGCCTTGCATTCTGATTGATACAAAAAATATATTCTGATTGGTTAACAGGCTTTATGTACTGACCTGCACACAACATTCTGGTTGGCACACAATGCTTAAGTTCTGACTTGTACATACTGCACCTTTTATAGAGGATATTAAATTATTGTGCACTTTTCAGTGGCACCCCATCTTTTTTATATGACAAATGAACTGGAAATTGCAAAATACAAGCTACTCAGACCTGATTTTAAGCTTGAAAAAACATGTCGAGTCCTTAAATCATGTTACATATACTAGGAATCTGTCATCACTAAACTGTAGTACTGCATCATTTTAGTATGGACCTTTATTTAAATATTTTGGTGTCATTTTGATTAGTTGATCATTCATGACAGACCATCTCATTTGCGAGACACTTGATTGGCCACTGGTCTGTTAAATGTCCAGACTCTTTAAAATAAAGAAAAACATGGGAAGTAACCAACATGTCACTTTTAACACGATCATAATACCTTGGTGTCAGTGGTATGTACTGCATAAGCAACACCACCGAAAAACTTGAGCACAGAGGTGCCAAACCCTATACAGCATTTAAGTCTTGTATACTGTAGATAACACCCATGTTGAGTTGCCACAAAAATCCACTCGTAGCGATTTCAGGCAACATCCTTAGATGGCACTATGCTGTTCAGGTCCTCGGACCTCCCTTGCTTATGCCTCTTCCTGACATGACAACATTCCAGCAATACAAGGAACTCCATGTCTCATTCTGTTTGTGCAAGATAGGAATGTCAGTTACTGTATGTTGTAGGTTCCCTGCTTGCAAGACTTGAGTCCCCATTGAACATCAGTGGGATGAGCTGGAATGATGTGTGGCATCTAAGGCTCAGAGACCAGTGAACACACAGAATCCCACAAGACTGCATCTACATCTGCATATATCGCGTCCAATGGGAACCACACTTGCTATAAGGTTATGACTATCACAGTAGTCTCTGTTGATAACAAATGATAATTAGCATAGTGATTTTACTTTTGTCACATCTATTTAATACAATGTCAGTGTACATACAAGATATTTTGTTCCAAAGAAGGATATTCCTGCTACTTTTATAAATTTGTTATAAGTGATAATTTTCTTTTAATGCCCAGTATACAACAGTCAATTATATTTTTGTTTCTGACAAAAAAATGCTTGGGCTAAACGTGTTAAAATAGAATGAATGCCTTATTTCTGTGTCATTACAGCAAATATTTTTTTTACTAAAAAATATTCTATTGTATCTTAATATGAAAGAACACACAATTTAAGTCTAGAATTTATATCTAACTTTCTGTAGTAATCATATTACAAGAAGATTCATTGGTCACAAGCATTATGCACTATAATTTTACCCCGAGTAATTAAAATCCTCTATAATGGCGAGGAGTAAACAGCTGGTTGAAACTTTTATGGTTTTACATAAAAAGAACACGAAATGACCAAATCCACCAATAAAAACCACAAAGCCAGCTAATTAGATGGGACTTCGGTTCAAAGGTCCCATCTACCATATGCAAATATTTAAATTGATAAAACAAGAATAAAAAACTCTATTGGTATGAACTTATTGAACCTTTTGCTACCATGTTAACATTATCAGATCATAAACAGGACTACATTCTTATTGTATTCGGACATTTAATGTTATTTCCAGCAGGAAGGAAATGCAAGACTTCTTATACACTGCCAAAATATAGTCTTCACAGTAATTGCTTGAAATGTTATGTGCTATACACTCACTGTTTAGCATCTGTACTAACGTCTTGTTTGCAAAAGTTCATTACTCTGAATCACACAAAGTTTCTTACACATGACTACAACACATTTATCTGCAGTAAAACTATTAACCAAAAGGAGTATACTTGGAGTACAATGACACCTCTGTAGAACTGATCTTAGTAGGCTCTCTTTACAGTGATTCCTACAAGCTAAATCACATTATTAATAGTATCTTCTGCCAAAAATCTGACAGAAGCACATAGGTATTAAAAAATTGATATGCAGAAAGTCAACACCTTCCTGCAGTCTTAATGTATAAAACCCTTTCAGTGTCCTGACACCCCCCAGCATTCTCAAGTATTTTAAGTACATTTTAATTGCACTTATTTTTCTCTGCATTGTGCTGTAAACAGAATTATCTCTTGTTCAAAACACAACTGAGGTGCAAATTGAAATGTGTAATTCAACAGGGCTTGCCTGTTTCTTCCAATACATTGGCAAAGAAAGTTACAAAAAAAACACTTGGCTGGGATGTTCTTTTCAAACTCATCTAATTGCAAACCAGAAATAAAATAAAGTAAAACGTGTTTTATTTTCTACCTTAGTTTCCTTCAGTCAAATTATAACCAAATTTCAGAATTCAGTGAGAAACTAAATATCTTCTGAAGTGCATTTAGAATTGGTGTGAAACGTCAATAACTTTACACACAGTTCACCAATTGCTTTGAATGTACACCAGCTTGTTTACCATCATCAGTTAAAGAAAATACTCCTATTAACATAATGAGAAAACCATTCAATACGTCCTACAGGAGAATTAAAAATGCTCTTCGAGAACAAGAGGACATCAGACGAAATCCGAAATTAAAGCAATATTTTTGCTAAAGTAGTTTTTAAAAAGACATTTATAGGTTCAGTAGATATGAATCCGTAATATGTACAGAATATAAAGGTTCACGCAAACAGTGGTTATAAATCTAGCTAAGCAGCTTTGTTGACCCCTATAAAATGTCTGCAGAAAATCTTGAGAACACTAAAAACCTTGAAGTACTGAACTTCCCTACTGAAAAGGGTTTTTATCATCCCTAACCACGAATTTCTGATTATGTGTGACCTGCTACTATCAACTATCTAGTTATTAATTTATCTTAGTTATATAATATTTAATCCCTTGTATATGACAACTGTCGTCAAAGTACAAATGTCTCAAACGTGTGGACATAAACGAATCATAAAGCCTGTTTACCAGACCTGTCAGTTTTATTAACATCAAAACTAGGTTTCTAACCTTTTTATAGTGCAACAGCCTAAGAAGATTAAGTAACGACGCAGTTCGAAAATCGGAATACTTTCACATTACAACAAATAACAAGCACTTCGGCACAGAAGTATTTAGCAAATTTAACACAAAAAACGTATTGCATATTAGAAATATTTGGCGCATAATCCTACTTGAAAATTGCCCTTTGCACTGCAGAATATTTAAGAACACCTACAGTACCTGTGCCGAACTGAGCGAAGGCGAGAAATATCAGTGCCGTTCCAACAGCAGGATACTTGTGACAAGCCATAGCAATAAACTCATCCGCTTGATTCTGGGAAATACTGGACACCGTTTCCAGTCAAATTCATTTGCTTCTGTTTTTCGCTGCAACTCTGACAGCCACGCTTTGCATTGCTGCACTCCTAATAACAGGTCACATAACTAAACACGCAATAGGAGAGCACTCCGCCCCCTTTACTGATTGGAACTAAAGAGGATTAATGTGCTTTCCCCCTGATAAACGCAGGCGCTGTATTACAGACTGAGGGCAGGCAGCTTGTGCCCACCGGCTACGTCTGAGCAAACTACACGTCGATTCACGCGTCCACCGCGCATATGCTGAAATTATTAGCGACTCTGAAAAGTTACGTCTTGAGATCTGGACGATTTGTAGGGCGAGAGAAAGTGGGGAAAAAAAATACATAACTAGTTTATTCACTTTCTGAATATAACAAAATGTATGAACTTCGAGGAGGGCACACTTTACAAGGTGGTCAAGATCCTGATCATGATTAGACTAACTTGTTGCCATCACTACCCACACACATTAATAAATGACATGGAACATGATCAAAAATATTACTGACTGAACGCTAAGTGGTGCAGTTTTTCCGAGAATATATGGAAATAACATACTGCTTTGGAATAGTCCCGAAAACAGAGCATGACAGCGACACGTTGTGCTTGCATGTACCAGAGGAGATGATATACTATTTTAAGCATGCCATATAATCTCATGCATCACTAACATCTGGGCTCTATTCACGAAGCATGATGTATTAGCGTTTTTATTTAAGTATGGCTACACAGCATCTTTCCTTTCAGCGGCTGTTTTTAAGTCAACTTTCAGCGCGTCAAATCTAAACAAAAGCTAAAATGTCTCGCGTCGTGCTCCCATGAGTGTTAGAGTGTTAAGGTGGGGAATTCAATAGACATTACCCAGGCCAAGTGGGGCATCAAATCAAGGTTAATGAGGCACAGTGCTTTGCAAAGCTGTCCAAATCAATTCCAGCTGTTGTTCTTACTCTGCCAATGACTCTGACCAGTTATCATGTTTTCTTCATCTTGGCCAGTGTCTCCCATTCACTGCACTTTAACTCCACAATCCATTCCCAAACAGCCAGCGCCCGGCTTTCTCTGCCTCCTGTCTGCAATGTCTCCTTAGCAACCCAGAAACACAGTACTCCCTGTCTACATCTGCACCCCTTTGCCCTCATACTCTTCGTACAAATTTGGCACATGAAAACCTGTTTAGTTTTTCTTTGAAGACCAGGCCCTTTCTTGGCTTGTTCTTTTGAGTGCTTACAAATTATTGGACAATACTTATGGTTGCCATGCAGTTCAGAGAACCCCTGGGGCAGTTACATAAAAAAGAATGAATACAGGTAGCTTTCACCTCTTTTGTGTGTGAAATATACAGTGCTTCTATGAAATACATCCATCCCAGGTAGGGGCAAGCAATGTACTGTAGCTTGTTCTAATTCCTTCCTGAAGGCACCCAGGTCCACTCAGCCCACTTTCCAAGTGAGTACCGGGGGTATTAGGCTGGCCAGAGCGTGATGCTGACCAACAAACATTTCCACCTCCAGTGTCGGATGGCCACAGAAAAATGGTGGCCCTTGCCCCCTATTCCCCCATGGGCCTTTATGGCCTGAAAAGGGACCTACCTACCTCTGTGAAATAGTGTCTTATAGAGTGCATTTCAACATACACACAAAACGGTTGCAGAAAGCCTTGATATCTGTAACCCAAAAATAAATGTGGACTCAAGGATGTCTGTGAACAGTAATACAATATAAAAAAAGAACTCCAGAATAATGTTTACTAAAAACTTAGGAAAACAATCTAGTCATCCTGGATTCACCATGTATGAAATCCATAACCAAAAGTGGCCTGAACTGTTTTTAGCATTGCATTTGCCAACACTGTACTATAAAGCCCCAATTCACCCTTTTTGATGAAAAAAGGTGAACACAAACAAATGGTTTCATTTTCAGTTATTCCTATTTAATAATGTTCATCTAGATGTACTCATCCTTCACCACAATCATGATTGACTCATTATACTAATTCAAACACAGGAATATAATTCTTCCAAACTATGTATGTATGGTGCTAAAACATGTAAATGTGTGCCATTTACTTTCTGGATGTACTCGCATTGCATTCATATCACACAGGCTTAAAGCTGTGACATCACAAGCACAAACGGAAGTTCATTTCTAAAACAGCCTTGCAAACTAGACCTGAACCGCTATTGCATTGATTCTTCTTCTGCTACACATTTAGTTTAAATCAGATCTTCTAGACACAGAGACGAGAGATCCCGAACTTATTCAATTACTAACTCAACTAAAAATCAAAAACTGTAAAAGGCTCAAAACTATCGAAGAGTTCAAAGGGAAAAATAGGGGTAAATAGCACTTAATTTGAAGCTGAATGCTGACTAAACAGGAATTGTACTGATTGTTAGAGCTGAAACTTAATTGAAATCCTAATTTCACCAAGGGAAAGAGGAATAAAAATAAGCTTTGCATAGTCAAGTGACATTCCAGTTACACTTTAAAGTTGTTTTCATTAAGCAAAATGAACACAGACCATTTGAACACTCACTTTCAATATCTGTGATTAAGAAGTGACCTTATTTTAACCATTAAATTTGATCTTCTAAAGTGCTTAGTACACTGTGCGTAACTATAGTAACCTCAGAAAACAGGTGGATTTGATAGAGCTCCCTAATAATTATTTATTCTCTCAAGTATACATCTGTAAACTTTCAGCTAGGAATGGAAGGGCACTGTATATGATATAGCCATGATAAGCATTTACCACTTAGACATAAAAGTTTTACCATGATTTTCTTTGGTCAGATTTTAGCAACTCAAACACTGTTGCCCATCATCAGTAGCTGAAATATACTGATGGAAAAAAAACTCAACTCCTCCTCCTCCTCCACACTCTAGCCCTCCCATGTGCATGAAACAGGATGAGGAGTGACTCATCCATTTAGAGGACCTGATGCCACTGCTGATGAGTCCATTGCAGCCTCCGTCTGACCCAAGCCAGTCGGGTGTGACATCTACGAGGTGTGAGCAGAGGGCCTCTGACAGGTCAACTTGCTCTAAGACCAGCAGTATGGAGCCCCACTGTCCTATCTCTGATGCAGGCCGTGTGTCTGCCAGCAGTTTCAGCAGCAGTACGGGTGGCAGATCTGAAATTATCTCGCAGATGGACCAGTCTGATGGGTCAGCCCTACTCTGGTGTGGTCACTCGAGGGCAAGAGGATCTTGGACAGTCAGCTGTCCTGCCAGACTGCTGAAACCTTCTCTCAGGACACAGTGGAGAGGCTTACTCCAGTGTCTGTTGACACTGGCACATTACATGCCTGCCTGCACCATGCCAATGGCCCTCTCCCTTGCTTCTGGTGACATTCAAGGTATTATGGAATGCACAGAAAACTGACTAAGTGTGGCTTTTTTCTTGCAGTGATCTACGCTTTAAATTAAGGCCTTTTTAAAGGTGACCTGATCAAGCATTGTTCCACCTGGATCTCATTGGGTAAACATGCACCTAATGAGCTTTTGTGATTGGCAAATTGCAATGCCTCACTCCACAAGTTGAATTACTAGGCAGAGGGCTTAAAACAAATTGGCAACTTTTTGTGAAACTACATAAGCTATAACTATAGTATTCTCATTGCAGAAAAGGTTGTTTCCCCCCCCCCATCAGTATATATTCATCTGAAAGATTTGCTCTTTACCATGTTTACCTTGCCATTTTAATACATGAAAAACTTAATTCAATTCAATTCAACATTAAGTTTTATTTCAGCAGAAAGTAAAGCATCGGGCTTACATATTGCTATAAAATTCTAAGCCAGGTTTTAAGAATTTATAACTTGACATAACATGAATCTACCACTACTGCAATATACCAGACTCTAAACGAACAAGGGCCTTTCATCAGTCTTGTACAGAATGATTTCAAAGCACCTCAGAGGGATCTGCACACTCTAGTTGTAACAAATCTTCCTCTTGGTTTGGAGAGCAATCTGAAATTGTAATTTGACTAGAGACCATAAGAATTTCTTCTCCATTAAATGAATTCTGAATTGGTTTCAGCACAATTTGCACAGAGGAGAGTTTACCACAAAGGTTGCTGTAGTTATAAATTCTCAAATATGATTTCCAACAGCAGTGTTACAGATGTAAACCAGTCATGTGGTCAGAATGTAAAGGCTTGCCTACCCAATTGTGGAATATCTAAACAAAGGCTGAAGAATATTTTAACACACAAATGTGCTCGCTACAGATGAACTCAATATTATTTGGATTATCTGCAAAATGTCTTAAACTGAACATGAAAGACAAGAAATTGACTACTGCATGTGGACAGTGCAAATACCATTTCTTCATTTAAGTCCAATGCATACGTACAAACCTGCATGTTCCAGATTTCAAAACATTTCCGGTCTCCAAAGATTAAATCAAATGCATAAATGCAGGTGAAGTATAAAGATCACCTGACTCAAACAGAATCAAAGCTTACCTTGTTAAATTCAGAAGACTCATTAAGAGATCTCAGCCCATAGAATATTTGTGCAACATGAGTAGTGAAATGCATTATTCAATCTGCTTTTTAGTCCCCTTTCTATAAGGATGGGACAAAGGGTAAAAAAAAAAATGAAATAACGTTGTGGTAAAATTTGCCTCACCAGCATACTCTACGGCTCAAAAGCAGGATGCTAGAATGTATCAGTGCTGTATTTACAGGCCCAAGTGAGTTCAGTTAGAATTTCTATTTAGGTCTCAGAGGAGCAGGTTATCACAACAGAGAAGAACATCTCAAAGGATACAATCCCAAGGATGCCTTTTGGCCTCCTTACCTCAACTGGTAAACTTGGTGGTTGAGTTGCTTGTACACAAATGATCCCAAGATCACATCCATGCCCAATCATTAAGAAAAGGAAGGCGCACTATACCACTGCGCCTGCCTAGATCAGCCCATCTCTCCAAACGTAGAAGCTGAGAGATCCCATTGCGATGTCAATAACTACTTTGGACAAGCTGGAGAGTTCAATGGCAGAGACAGGAGAAAATGTGTATGAGTGAAAAATATCCCTTCATTTCCCAAAGCTGGCCTGTATGGCAGAGTGAAAAAACCATCCCAGACCTCCGAGATGTTGCAACAGAGCATTTATGTGATCCTGCAAACATGTGGCTAAACATTTTGTGAGCAGACAAGACAAAATCAGAACTTCTTGGTGCAACTGTAGAGTAGTGCATCTGGCACAAAACCATCATAAAGCATCATCCAGTCAAAACCATCCCTAAATTCAAGCTTGGAAGTGGCAGCATCATGCCGAGAGCTGCTTCCCATCAGCAGGGACCGAGAGGCTTTTTGAGTTTCAGGGGAAAATGGGCGTAGTGGTGAATCTTAAAAGAAAACCCATTTTAAGTCTGCTAAAGACCTCAAACTGGGATGAAAATCCAACTTTCAGCAGGAAAAGGAACCAAAGCTACACCAGAGAAGTTTGAGAAAAGTAAGAATCCTTGAGCAGCCCAGAGAGAGTCATGACTTATCTTTCATGTAACAGAAGCAAAACATTCTGGGTCTATTAATTATTCTTGCCATTTTTTATGGATGCACTCTACACAAAATTTTCCACATCTGATTTTTTTTTTTACTTGCAGGGCTTCTGTACGTTCCAACCAATACAATTAATCAGGACATTTGTATCCATTTCCACCAATGGACTCTCAAAGTAATTAAAACCTCATCATGAATGCCTAGTACTCCATTTAAAAACATTCAGTATATTGTATTAATGTATTACTCAGTTTACTGGAAATGCAATAAAAAGACCATTCATTGCTCCCTGTATTACCTGGTACTGAACCTGACAACATTCAAGTGGTTAATCATTGCTCCATCAATAGAAAATATTATCCTTGGCTCTCTGAAACTCAGCTTTAAGCTGCTGCTGCTTAAGCCCTTTCAAAAAGCAGCAGCACAGTGCTTTCCCCCTTGCCACGAGCATTATAATCAAATGGATTCTCCAATGTCATTGATTCTTCTCTACAAAAAGCAGTGCTCAAATCACTTTTCCACAATTCATTCTATTATAAATGTGTGGCACTCTGGATAAAAGGCCAATGCCATAAGTGGATTTTAGCTATTTTATTTATTACAAATCCGGCAAATTAATTACAATCCGGTTTCGTAATAACTTATAAGCATTTATAAGTTACGAAGTCACTTTTTTTTTAATAACCTGAAATACATTTAAGGAACAATGCCTGATAATACACAGAACTACAGTATCAATTTTTATCATACAAAAGTACTAGATGAGAAATGAGAAAACAGGTAGCCAAATGGTATACTTTGTTGCAAACATTCTATTTAATTTGTAGAAATTACTACTGAATATAAAATGATTAAACCAAAATAGTTCAGTTTCTTGTTGACTTTACAATATATAATTTTAAAAATAACCATGTACCTTTACACAAACTTTTTGATATGTTTTCACATTCCTGTATAAATTATGACTTGCTTTTTCTAGCATTTGTACTTGGTAAAGCTTATAAAACAAATAAAAAAATATAAAATTAGATACATAATGAAATGTTTGCAATGAGATATAAAAACATCTGTAACAGATAACATTAAAGGCAGTGGAAGTAGTGTTTTTATGAAGGAAGAAAAGGCATCTTAATAGAATGTCAAAAAGCAGAATGATTTTACAACTAATCAATGTTAGCAATAAATAAATTACAGATTTAATGAAGAATACCAAGAAAACCTGCCATCTAACAATGTAAACACTAGTGAAATGCTGTAAAAACAATTACCATTTGTCCTTTCTTGATCGTGTTAGTAAGATATACAATTTTTTGGCAAGTTGTTTTTAAAATGCACTAGTAACAGTGCAAGGAATGCAAAGACAGTGCAATTAACAAGAAAAGCATAGACCATATTGCTAAATAAAGCAGATTTGCAGAAATGTGTTAAACCAAAGAACTGTAGCGCTACAGCAACCATTCAATGCCCAGGTAACAGTTTCTTCTTCAAAGAACATGACTATTAAATTATTAATAAAAAAGGATAACCATAAAAGATCCCCCAATATACTGACAGTCATTTAAATGCCCGCTAAGCCATCTTTGGATGCCAAAATTTCCCCCACTGCATGTTGAAAATAAATATGTGCCTCTATAAGAGCACGGTGCCAGGATAGGTCCCATTTCTCCTTCCCAAGCGAAACTCCTCTATTTCTTAAAGTCCTTAAAGTCCCACTGGGGGGTGATAAGTTCAGCAGTCAGCCTTAATTTTGTCCAGGCAGTTGTCAATCTTTGTTAGCGTTTTCTTAACTCGCAGTGCGGTTAACCTTGCGGATGGATTCTGATACCAACACTCCTTCATCAGCTTGGCAATAGCTGTTAGTGTCTGAAAAGCAAATTTTAGAAAGTTAAAAACCTTCAAAAAAGATGAGGAACATTCAATACGCACAATTTGCAAATTCATTTTTATGACATGGCAATACAAAAAAATGGTTTCTATGCCTTACTAGTTTAAGCAGATGATCAGCGATTTATTAAAATAAAGAACTTCAATTCTAGAGCAATACACCCAGGTGAAAGTTGTGCTAATGAACATTGCGACTACAATCAAAAACTAGTTCAGTCAGATACTTGAACCAATACTAGGATAATTGCATATTAACCCAAGTGCATTTAAAAATGCCACAAAACATTTAGGTCAGAAAATAGTAAATTAAATGAACAGACAAAAAGGCACAAAATTTATCTAAGTAAATTAATAAAATGTTTTGTACCAGACCTTCAGCACCAGTGTGATGTATTGTTATATGTATTAAATGCTGAATAAAGTACCAGGAAAAACAGGCACTTAAGAACACAAGGTCATTCACATGTCTCAAATTAATTTAAGGTGTGCTAATTTTCTTCCTTCTGATTTCTAAAATCTAATTACACTAACCCGATACAAAGTGTCCTATTAGAGTTGTTCCCAGAATAAGAGCTTAGCCCTTTCTTAGCATTTTTGAACTTAGTTGTGTTACCAGGAGGTTAATGCCTTTGTAGGTCTGGAAACCAAAACACTTGGTTTCATGCTTATGGTACTATTCTTAAAGTGCAACCCAGTGGTCGCAGTTCAAAGCATTCCCACTGCTTTGCCTAGAAAGTAAGATGCAGTAAGAATTCCATAAGGATTGTTTTGCAAATAGCTCATTACAAAAGTAATACATTATTTATATTTAGTCCACTCAATCAACACAATGACACATCAATGGCAAAGACCACCCTCAAATTGAATGTGGAAGACCGCTGGCCCCGTGGACAACCATTACGAGCTGGCTAGATCGGTTGAAAGATGTGCGCTTCGCAAAAGCCACCTACTGAGATACCACAGACCGTACGAAGTGGAAAAAAAATCGGTGCAAACAAGCAGACCCCACACAAGTGTCAACACAAGCACTTGCTGGCCTCCTGTATACCATCAGCCATTTGCTTCATACCCTTCTTGCAACACAACAGACTGAACTGATCTCAAGTACAGATAGTCAAACCTTAAGAGAATAGTTCTTCCCAGCCACTTATAGAAACTCTAAATGTTAAACTAATTTCTAGTGAATCCTGTTCATAGTACAATAAAATAAATTTTAACTAGCCACAGGGATCTCCTTGATTTTCAAGGGCTCTAGATGTAGTAGGTAAGGGCCATTGCCAGGTAATTAATACGTTTGCTGGATACTTCAATGTTCAAAAGCATAAGTCTTCAACCAAAGCAGGTTCTTTCCATTTCTCATCCATTACTTACCAGATCTGAAAACCATCTATTAGGAATGTTGGGCCTTTGCTGGTCTATACAAACAACCTTTTTCATATCTTCAAAGCTAGGATCATTAGGAACAACATCATGAAAAGGAGGTTTGTAGTCCTCTACAATTCCTAAACAAAAAAGAAATGGTTTGTTAATTAGATCGCTATTATATAGCCGTTATCAATAAAATGGATGGCAAGACTTCACTTCTTGTCCTTGTGTTTGCTATTTTCAGGTCTTCAGATTAGGAGTTCAACACTTTCTATCCTTTGCAAACAAAACTTCAAGAGCTCATGCATGACACTCACAGCAAACTTGATGAAAGACAGAATCCATTGTCATACAGTGCATTATTCTGCTCTCTTTAAGTTTTACTTTCTGGAGTGCATTTTCCACAATGGCCAAACATTTCACAAAGCGTCTTTCTATAGGTCATGGTAAATAAGGTAGGTGTGTCAAATTCTGTACAAAGTACAATGGAGCAATTATAACTCAAAGAGTAGCAAGTAAAGGTTGCGTTATCTGTGGCCTGTATTACCCTAAAGTACAAACCACTACTATCAGCCCAGCACGGACTATAAATAGATATGTCATTTATCGCTGTATGGAGAAAATCACTATCCATTTCTGAGTGGAATGGAATAGACCAACATTCACCACTGGTTTTTAATCAACAGATTTCTCAGATTTATAAACAAGGATAATTGTGAAGTTTCAGTTGTACTTTGTTATTCTAAATGTAGTGGATGTAAGAACTAGCCAGGCTTTTAACTGTCTCTTTACCCTACAACATCCTTCCTGGAACGTAAGACGTGGTATTTATAGTACCTGAATGCAAGAAGCAACGTACCTATATCCTTCATAACATATTGCTAAAACATGAAAACATGCATGTCAAAAGTGGTTTTGAATGCATTAATCAAAATACAGATTTAAGAATCTTAATTTTTTTCCTCTAAAGTGAATTTTTCTAATTCTCTTTGATCTTATACAATACTTTAAAATCAAACAGTTCATCACAAGTTCGTAGGAGAAGAAATTAGCCACACCAGTGCAACTGCAAACAGAAATTGATCGAACACCAACCATATACAGCCCCCGATCAAAAAAGGCAGGCAAAAAAAGCAGTTATTGTAAAAACAACTGACTGAATTAGTTAGACTGAATAATTTTTCCATGGCAATAAAAAATAAAACCGCAATTACAGGACATTCGTCTATGACAGCCTTCTATTCCCAGTGAAGCCCCCTTTCAACAGGTCCTATTAAATCTCTTAAGTATAAAATTGATTAGAAATTAAAACTAAAATTTGAATTAGAAGTGGGTTTACTTTACTCAGAAGAAATGGTACAGCTCATACTCACCATTGCTAACAGTCCTCCTGGCAACCTCCCATAGAACAAGTCCAAAGGCATAAATGTCCACTCTCTTGTAGGACTCAAAGCAGTCCACCTGGATGGTATCGTCTAAGACTTCTGGTGCCATGTATCTTTTGGTCCCCACTTTTGGGTTGTTTCCCACATCTAACTCATTAGTGTCTTGAAAATGCATCACGGCGAGGCCTGTAATTAACAAATGAAAGATGTGATTCCTAAAGGAAGTGTGGAGATGTCACAATATAAACTGCCCGTTACCCTAGGTAACGAAAGATGGACTACTTAAATTTTGAAAAGTAAAAGTATTGATCAAGAAGTCTAAAGTGATCTATTTCATTACTCATGCAAACTAACAAATAATGCAAGACTGAAGACGACGGCGCAACAGCAGGCGTTAAACTAATTTAAACAGATACATTTTAATACTACCGTCACCTTTTAAACACAATTACATTCAAATCAAGTGTATTCTGGTCCGATACTCATACTACTCCTCTAACAGGCCGTGCTGAAGATTTGCTCTTTTTTAATCTTTTTCGGTTCTGTTGATAAAACATGCAGAACCATGAATATTTGGAAAGTTAAAACTTCCAACTTGATTTTGGAAAAAAAAAAAAACTTATCCTACAGCAAACTTCCATTTATACATTTAGAGAAACAAGAAACCTTTAAGTAGTCTTATCGTCAATTCTTCACCTGAGCCTACAGCAACTGCATGACGCTAGCACTGAGGGTTCCTACGTTCTGATGAAAATATAGGTTTCGGTTCACATGAAGGTTTAATCTGGAAGTATCCCAAGTTGTCAAATCACGTGGTACATTTAGTAGCTCTTGTTTTATCAGAGTTCAGTGGGAACATACTATACCAGCTTGCCCACTATTTATTACCTTTATTTATTCATCACAGGTTCTAAAGTCCTTAAGTGAATTTTCAGCCCATAGATTGTAACATGTTTTTTAAATGACTTCATTTTTAAAAAACATCCACATTCTACATTTATAACCCACAACACTTTGAAAAAGAACCACTATTTTTGTTTCTGCGCGTTTCTCTAGAAAAGAGAAAGTCTACTGTCCTCCAGTGGATAAGGACTGCATTGCAGCCGATAAACTTTTTGATCAAAGGTCTCCCAACTAAGTCTAGAAGAGCCCAAATCCAGTAAAGTTTTATTCACACAAAATTACCCAATTTGCAAAAATTGGGGATTACTGATCAATTAACGACATGTTTGGACATAACTAGTCTGAGGCTATTTAGTTTTATTAAAATACGTTGCAATTGTTCAACTAAATGACTACAAAGGCTAAAGTCAGCTGTTTTTGCTCCTTGGAAAGGGTAAGAAAGCAGAGAACAGCTTTACAGTAGCTCAATAACACTTTGCATAATCCTACATGCACTTCACCAATGCAACTATAGAATGATAGTTTGCAGACTGACCATATTTTGCAATGTTAGAGAGACTAGGACAACAGAAATGTCAAATGACATATGGTTATAAAAACATGCATAAGTCAAAAAGTGCATTTCCTCTCCAAAACAACCAGGTTGTTTGTTCAGATCTGCTTCACAATATTAAATTCAAGAACATTGTTTATACCATCTTTTCTAAAGCACTCTGCACATCTTTTTTTAGCTACGGCATAAAGCCCATAATAGGCTCTTCAAATCTAAGTGTTGCTTAATGCATTTTTGGTTAACATTCTTGTTTAGCAATAAAGACAAAGAGAGGGGTGTACACATACAAATTATTTTTGTCAAATTAATCAGTTGAGTTCATAGGACAAGAAAAAAAATGTTTGAATGCTTTAATGAAATGGCAGCACTTAAACACCAACACTATTCACGGTTCATTATCACTAAAACGCTTGAAAGGGATTGGATAATTTGCTACGATTATGTTGGAGCCAGAATCCTAATTAATGTGACATTTCAGCTGACCATGAACAGCTGTACGAGATGAACTACGTCTTGAACTGGGTTTTAAAAAACATTTTAACAAATTTACCGTAAAATGGCTTGATTTTAAAAATACGTCACGGTGCCTAATTGAACGTTTTTTTTAGGCGCTGCTATACTAGCAAATATACCGAGAAGCATTAAAAACAAAAAGATTGTGAAAACCAACAGCATGTTGCATTTTTAATGCCTCCAAGTATTTTATTTCTTGAAAAAAAGCACATTGTGGCAACAGTGCTTTTTGTCCTTTATAGTCATGATATGTAAACAATCAGAACTGTTACATAATATTTTGCTAACCATTTCATAAAGTTAAACCTGAATTCCGAATATGACAAAACAGAAGCAGAACAAAAGACGCTAGAAGTGCTATTTGAAATAGCTTAGGTTTTTCTTTTTCAGAATAGAGCATTTGTTCAGGTGCACCAGTATACCCTTACCTAAGTCAGCTATGCAGCACTGCCCATTCTTGTTAACCAGGATGTTTTTGCTCTTCAAGTCCCGGTGTGCGATTGCAGGCTTCCCTTGCGTTCCAAAGATCTCTACATGCAAGTGCGACAAGCCACTGGCAATGGACAGAGCCATACGCAGACAGCCCACCGTGTCAAGGGTGGTCAGCTGGAGATAATCATACAGGGAGCCCATTTCATGGAAGTGAGTGATCAACCAAAGCTGAGTGCTGGAGTTTCTGGAGGTCATGTCTGAAGCAATAAAGCCTGCAAATACACATAAATGTCAGCATAGCTGCTTAATAAGATGTTAGCTTGAAATCTTTTGAGATGCTTTTTGTTTCCTATAGTGTCTTCTGGATTAAGCAAAGCAGCATGAATAACTTTGAAATAGCCCAAATGATTCAAATTGGGTGTCTATAGCACTAACAACCTCTGTGTATATGCATGATTAGTGCTGTGCAAGAGACATTCAACTGAGGGGTATGTTAATGATGAAATGTTTTTCAGGAAAAGCATGTTTAATTTACTGCCCTATTCTTAAATCTTATAACAATCTGCTGTCACAACTCTTCAACATTTAATCACCTAAAGCTATTTAGCTCTACGGTGCACACCCTTAATGGATATGGTTAACAGACAATGATAGGATTAAAACTTCCCCAAACATTTAAACCTATATTTTAACACTTATAAAGTGCATGTTTCCTGTGTACTTACCCAATATGTTTTCATGCCTCAGCAGCACTGTGTTGTAGATCTCAGTTTCCCGAAACCAGGATTTCTCATCTCTGGAGGAGAAAATCTTAACTGCAACACTCTCCCCTTGCCACTGGCCCCTCCAAACCTCTCCATAACGCCCTTTACCTGCAAGTTGAGAAGAATTAAAGCATTTCACATTGTTTTCACCTTTTCCCGTTATCCAAAGAAATGGCTAAAAAAAAAATACACAAAATATTTAGCCCTTGATCCTTGATTGATTTTTAACTTTACATACAACTGAGCTATGTTGATTATTTCAGTACGAATTGCTCTTGTGCGACTTCCAACATAGTGGAGCAGTGGATTCCTGACTGCAGGGTCAGGGGTTTCAAGTCCGAGGTGGAATACTGCTACTGCATCCTAGAGCAAGGATTGTTTAAAAAAAAACTGCTCAGCGAGATCCCTCAAATCAATAAGTTAAGAGCAACTAATCTGAATTAAATGGTATATATGTTCTCCCCGTGTTCACCCGAGTTTCCTCCCACAGTCCAAAGACATACTGGTACGTTAACTGGCTTCTGGGAAAACTGGCCCAGCTATGAGTGCATACATATCAATGTTTGCGTCTGTCTTCCCTGCAATGGACTGGCATACTGTCTTGTGCGAACCCCACCTTGTGCCTGTTGCTTGGGTTGGAAAGGCTTCTCCACAACCCTGAATTGAAAGAAGCCTTTAGGAATTTGAGCTGGGCTATGCAGCATAAACTTTCTTCTTATTTGGAGATAAACAGGAGTAATTACTGGTTAATGATTTAAGTCTTGTGCAGGTTAAATTTACTGTTATTTATAACAGGAGACTTTGTTCTTTTGCTCTACCACATTTCAGGGTGTGTAACTTTCTGCATTTCCCATGGTCACACAAATGGGAATGTTCAGCTAATATTGAAGTCTCATTCAAAATCATTTAATAAGAAAGTGTTGAAAAACGAGTGCATACATTTTCATCCATAAGTTGCTAAATTGCAAATATGGAAAGTGGAGGTCATGCACTACTTTGTTTGAGGAGTTATGGAAGATTGGTCTTGAACAAAACAGAATTAAACGGTAATAGCTGTTAAGCTGTAACCTATAATTAATGTACTGGAACAGGAACATGTTTGGGTTTTTTTCCCCCAAAATAAGTTAGGAACGCAGCATTGCCAAGTATTTTCTGATTTAGCTTAGTCCCTCATGTGTTATTCTGGTGTCTTTCTTCTCACATCAGCCAGTTCAGCATCAATACAAAACATATCTTACTTGCCAAAAATTACAGCCTTGTATTTTAATCACTCAGCGCAATTTAAAGAGGGCCCTCTTATCGGTTCCCTGGCAGGCCAGTAGAAAAATACCTGCTGGACTAGAAGTGGGGGGACAAAACTGCAATGGGATTCAGGGCAAACGGGGTTAGTAAATCAGCCACCACCACCCATTTCATGTCCAGCTGCAGCACTGATCATTAGAGCAAACAGTGGACCACACTCAAGTGGGATCATCGAAACCTACAGCAGATCAACTGCAAAGAAGGAAAGGGTTTAAGGCAGTAGAGCAACTGAGAAGTGAACAAAAGATAAGGCACCATACAACCCAGACGGCTATTCTTGCTAATGCAATGCAGAGAGAAATTCTAAGGACACTAGAATCAAAGAAACAATAGCTTATTACCACATTCTGATATCATGACGCATTCCAAAAGCTCAAATTAACTTTGGTATTTGGTTCTTTCTATCCCAAATACGCCCACACAGCACTTGAAGGACTGGAGACTGCAAGTTATGTGGAAGGTGGAGGTTGATTGTTTTCATTAATGTGTTTTTAAGTAAAGAAAGTTGCTCAAATGAATTTACCATTTCAATGTTATTTTCCTTTTAGACCTATTAGCTGAACAGCAATAAACCAACATCAAACTTAATTACATTTTTCAAACTGTCAACTGTACAATGTGATGCGCAAAATCAAATTAAGTGTGAAAATGTCATTTAAGCAAGTTCAATTTGTAAATACAGACAGATCAGGCCACTGAGGGAGGCTGTTTTCAGGGATTTTCTAAAGCAATGAGCAAATTTCCAGCATACACTTAAACCAAATATTTGAAATTGATATGTACCTTTAATAGTGTAAAAGCCAATATATGGTTAGAATACCCAATCAGATGGCTTAAAAAGGCTTGGTATATAATAGAGTATGTAAAAAATGGAGAACCTTGAACTGGAAGACTTTTTGCATCCTGATACTTAACACTGAACATGTGTAATCAAGCTGAATATCTTCATGCAAACAAATATTTTGAACAAAGGATAAAAAGCTTAAACAGTACCCCAAGAAAAGGATAGGGCTGCTTATGAACATCCATTTATTATGTAGTTTTGAGAAATCCATGCATGTCAATGCATAGTTGCATCTGGTGCTCCTTCACCTGAGTCATGAGGAACACATCTCCCATTTAACATGTCAGCAGACAAGTTGACTGCTCTACTCAGCTTTGTGTATCGGCAGAGCCCTTCTGCTTTGCAATGAGTGCAGAGCTTGGCCATACTTAGCCAGTGGAGCTCCGCCACGGGCACTGCTCCTAACAGAACACACTCCTGGAGGTCCCTCTCGCTGTGCATAACATCTCACTGCTTATAGCACACTTTCTACAATACTCTAGACACTGCACTCAAAGTACTTTATAGTTGGTTTAACAGTTCTATGAGTTTCATAACCCCCCCCATAGCACTTTCATATAAGCTGTGTACTAACCTACACACTCGTTAAGAGTAATCTGCCGAGCGACTGTCCTTTGTACGAGAAAGGGCAGGCCAGACCCACTTCCGGATGTGCAGGAATGATCCAACAAATCCTGTATGGAAACAGGAACAATGAAATAAATTATAGCCCTATTTGTCTTGGGTTAAATTAATGAAACAGACATCACAATGTGATTTCACATGTCGTTCATCTCCAATGTGGATTTGTACATGTTCTTCACATGTTTATAATTTATGGTAAATACACAGAATACATCAATTCAGACTTATACCTTTTTTGATTTCCAAATGTTCCAAACCATCATAAAGGCTGACACACAAAATAATAGTGTGAATATTTAATGTAATTTATGCAGTTTTAATTTGTGGATTCCACCAGCACGAGCAGAGTTCACTTCGCCAGTTACACATATGAACACTAGAGGGCACTAATTAGCTACTAAAACCATCCCCCCCCCACTAGGAAACAAACTTAAGTACATTGCAAAGATAAACACTCAAGATAAACATTTGTTTGCCATATGAGACCGATCTAGATCAACAAGAGGGACCTTAGAATCCATAAAAGCCTTAAAAGGCCGTTCCTGTTACTATTTAAAAATTCCTTGGTTTTAGATAATCGCAAACCGTTCTCCACCTGGAGGTGCAAAACAGCGAAGTTAAATCAGGTCACCAACATCTCGGCAGCATTGCAGTGGTGAAAGTTTTGCATTTTTTTATCTGAAAATCCAGTTTTACTGCCATGACAGTTACCCAGGACACTACTATAAATACATTTTTGGAATGACCAATTCTGGATTTAGTTCTTTATACTGGGTGAAAATGGCTAGAAAATAAACTGATATACGCAGGGGGTGGTATAAAGTAAAAATTTAAACTTCATTAGAAGATATGCATTTTTTATGCCGTAAACAGGGAATTTTCAAACAGAGGCCTATTAACAGAAAGAGAAAGTTCACTTACCGCCAGAGTGCTTTCCCCAACATTTGAGGCTATCAACCCATCTATTGTACCATATTCCGCATCTCGAGCGTTTAGCCTGTCCACCTGGTTCTGGTGAATCTTCTTGAAGACCAAGACCGCCATGGCAGACAGGATGATGAGAACGATGATCGGAGCCACGATCACAATAGCGAGAGTTGGCACGCTGTAACTCAGACCTTTCCCATATCGAGACTTTCCTTCAGACAAAAAGAAAGGTTTGTCTAATCAAAATACATCTACAGTGGAATGTATTGCATCTATATGGATGGAGGTGAGAGGATAAAATAAAACAAAAGACTAATGAAATACTAATTTAAAACACTTAAGATTTTAAAGGTATTGTAACACACTGCAAAAGAAATCAGCTAACACACACACTGAGTAACAAAGTCCCACTTGATTACAAGCGCTAGAAGTGATAATTGGTTATCTTTAAAAACCGTTTAGACTCCACAACCTCCCACTGCTTTACCGAGACCTGATGGGATTTTCAGATGTGAATTTACTGATTGTTTGCCCTCCTGTTGCCTTTACTCAAACAACTCATACTCCTACATGTCTCCCACAGGGACAGCAATTCTTACACCCAGCCCTACCTACAAATAAAAAGGTTCAGGTTTGGATTGGTATTGAGAATAAGTCGGATTAATTTTTACCAGAAAAAAAATTAGTGCAAAAGACAATGAACATTCATCTCCTAAACACTAGCGATTAAGCGCCCTGTGTATATGTCCAGCAAAACCCAAGTCCAAGAAATACATTAGCCTTAAACCTTGATTACGAAGGCAAAAATGCCATGTCACGATCACTAATACACATCAAAATCCATACTATAAAATAAATAAAATAAAGCAAACTGATTTATATAAATTATTAAGATCTTTTGTTTGATGGCATAAGTGCATTTACCTTGACAAAAGTTTTAGAGCTAAATTTTATGTTGTATTATGGTTAGATGCCTTTGTTTATAGTTTCTGTAAACATGTTATGAAAAAAATCTAAATTTAAAACAAGTAAAATGTGAAATCTATACAATCTAAACAGGAGCTGGGACAAATGGAGGTAGAACTGAACTCGTAGCCCCCCTCTGTTGGCTCTACAGGATCACTGGTCGACACCCAGCATCAAGAGTCAAGGAAAAACCCATTTTATTTGGATATCAATCCTTTACAATAGCATTGGGTATACTATACCTCTTCAGGACCTAGCTTTCAGTACGATACACAAGCACACAACAGTACAAACGCCTGTCCAGGAAAACATCATCTGATCACGGAAACTCTCTATATAAGGCCCCTCATTCCTCTCCTTGAATGATCTCGCCACTAACAACCAAACAATGGGATTCCTCACCGACTCCTCCATCCTCATGCTCAAATCTGTTCATTCCAAGCATAAAAATATATCCTGAATAAATCTACTTTATTGCCATTTCCACATTTTTTAAATAAGAAAGCATTTCAAAATAGTTTTGTTTTTGTTGTTCTTGGAGGTAGAGATTGTTGAAAATATTAAGCAGAGGTGGAAGGAGTTGCAAATGAACAAAAAAACATTTTGACTTATCAATTATTCTGAACCACCAACCCCAAACTATGAGTAATGTTCTGACCTTAATAAAAAGTCCAATAAACTTGTATCTGTTAAATACTCTTCACATATTTCTATTTTCAGTAGAAAAATACACTTTGGTTTTGTATGGCTGTTCTTTTACATTCTTAAGGGGGAAAACAAGCCATGATTTATTTTATACTTGAGAGAACATTACCTTTCATTCTCCTGCTGAGGAAACATCAAATTTTAATTTAGTTTCAACTCTGAAAGCTAGACAGCTACTCCATCACACAACCAAGTTAGAAGTTTCCTCCAAAGCAACCTTTTGTTTTAGATCAAACCTCATGTGGAATCCAGGAGACTTTCAGACCTATGGCCCTTTATTGCCAAAATTTGTTTTCCCGTCACAACAATACAGCACGGGATGTAGTATTTACAGTGAAAGTAAAAAAGGGATAACAAGGCAAGAGCCAAACAGACTCAAAGTACAGCAAGGAAAGTAGGTTACTCCGTGTACTGGCCACTCTTAGCTGAGGGCCCTCTCTGGCAAAGGTTTCACTTCTGTTCACAAGTCCAGGGAAGCAAACTATGACAAAAAACTCATGTCTGTCCCAGGACCTTGATGAGCTTTTTATTAGAAAGATTAAGGTAAGGCATATATTAAGTAGAAAACCAGGTTGAGAGGGAACAGACGTTTAAAGGCAAATATTGATAGCAAGCCTGAATGGCACTTTAGGATATAATGTACATATTTAAAAGTTCACTTTAACCAAAAAGGTGTGAACCTAAAAAAAAATTAAGTACTCTGAATTTTTCAGAAATCCAGAAGTCAATCATATGCAAATCATCTTTGCTGAGCCCTTGACCTCTTTTATAATAACCTGAGGCACTTTGTGGAAAAACCTTTGTGGAAAGGCAAGCAAAAAGTGTTCTTGGAACAATAAACGTATCCTTGGACACGGGATTAGGTCATTAGGTCATCGAGCCGCTGTTTTACCTTTCACTGGCAACTCCACAGTGATGTTCAAGTTACACAGATCCCCCTGGCAGCAATCCACAGCTTGATCTGGAGATGGAGGGGTTTTGCAGGTCATCTTCCCTTGCTCGTACACTTGGAAGCAGCCCTTCTGATAAACCGAAGTCCCATCGTTTATAGTGAGGGAAGAGAAACACTGCTGCCCGCGACAGCGCTCTCCGTTCCCACAGGACATGCCCTCACAGACGCACTCGTAGAGCTTGGTGCTCTGCTTCCCTTCTTCATCTGTAGAAAAGACAGCCAGGGAAACCTGATGAGGGGCCAATTTTTGAGCTTGCAGGGTCTCAATGGGCTGCGAAGCCCCTAGTGCACATAATACCTTGTTCTACGAATGTTGACATATAGACTATGATTAAGATTGTAGGATATCAACTTTAAAAATCAAAGCCTGATGATACAAATACATTGCTTTGCACTATTTCTACTTTGTAAATCCTTATGATCTACTCAATCACACTGTTTTGTGATGCCAAAAAAGTTAAAGTTAACAGAACAAAAGCTACATTTTCAAAAGGCCCGCATCCTATAGTTTTAAAGACACTTGAAAAGGAAAGCCTCCGAGTTTTCCGACATTTTACAAATATTCAGGTACTAAACTTTTAGCATCAACCACATAAGAAAAGGATAGGCTGCTTTTAAATAAAAAAAAGGAACAAGATTTGGATGGTCTGCTTTCTGAAACCCAAACCAGATATCCGAGACCATGGCTGTTGATGAGGACTTTTCCTTCAAATGTGTTCAGTAAACAAGGTGTGATAAAGAGCCCCATAAATGCTTAGTAACGCTGGACAAGCCGAGTAATTTAACAGAGCTTCAGCAGTTGTCACAGATGCAGTGAGAAAGCTTGAAAGTATGCACTCAACATCAAGATGGCACCAAGTCAAACTCCCAGCATTAACTGTTTGAGGTTCTCAAAACAAATATAGGATTTCAGTAAAAGGAAAAGAAAAAAATAGGCACAACGTAACCCTACTTAACCAAGCTGATACTGTATTTTAAAATATAATTTTCATCATAAAATGATAAAGCCTTTTATATTAAAAATAACTTGAACATTGAAATTGGGGGAAAAAAACAATTAATGTCTTAAGTTAAGCAAAACCTTATGGAGGGAATTCACATTAAACCTGCTTTCTTAATCGGTAATGAGCTCTTTTAAAAAAAAAAAGGTTCCCACTGAACCAATTTACAAATCGAGACTAAAATCCTATTTGTTTTTCTGAAATTAAAATATTGGGGGTGGGTTGTTACAAGGCAAAAATGCATTTTGGAAAATAATTACTTTCACCAATATTCCTACTTCTATTTTGAAAGAACAGAAGTTGATCAATATGGCATTTTCAAGCAAATCAAATGACATCCAAAGATTAAAATGTTCTCAGACTACTATTAGTGTTTTTATTAATCTTTCTCTGGTTTGTAGGATGATATAAAAATTTTAACCTACCTTCCATGCTGGAAGAGGGCAAGACCAGCATCAGTAGGACCAGAAGAATCATCACACCATCTAACACTGGAGAACTGAAATAAAGGCCAAAGGGTGACATTGGTAACAGCGCAATAATAGTGCATGTGTCCCCATACTAATAATATCACTTCAGAAACTCATTTTGATGACCACAAGATGTTAGCATAGGTGTACAGAACACTATGAAAGTCCAATAAAATTTAAAATCCTAGATCAAAATTTTGGTCAGTACAAAAATAACAGAAATTATTTTTGCCAGTGCTGTTTGAGAAAAGTTCTTTTCAGAGCCATTTTTCTTTCCAGTGATTCAACTGTAAAGTAATTGGGTCGTATAATGAAGAGGTTTAAATGTTAAAATATCAATTAACCCAAAATTCTCCTGAACTCAATATGTAATAGAAGAATTCTAAAACAGTTTGCTTCCAGAAAAGTTGGATAAGTTGGAACTTTGACACAAACAATTCTTAGTTAAATCCACATTGTGTTTAGGCAACTGACGTTTTTCTTATTACGTTCTCAAAGGAGGTGAAAGAAATAGCATGACATTGCTATTGAACACATGGTACTATTCTTTTCTGCTCAGGTTTCTTATGGTAAAATAATTTGTCTTGCACATGCTTCAGGATGGTATTTCTACTTAATTTATATTCTGAATAAATAAAAAATCCCAATGAATGGTATTAGAATTATTTTAGTGTTCTAAAATAAAAGTTGCTTGATGTATTGGAATCTCGCACAAAAGGAAAAGTTACTTTTTACTTCTAAAAGACTAAGCATTTTAAATCGATGTGTTAAGGTAACGTGGGCCTTATGACTTCTGTTGTCTTGGCAACCTGGAGTTGAGCAGCAAGCAGCAGGAAAACTAGTATTATCCCATTGGCTGCTGGAGTGTTTGAGAGAGACAGCAGGGCCGGCAGGAAGGAGAACAGACAGACGCAGGAGGAGGAGGAGGAGGAGGAGAAGCCCAGCAGGACGAAGGTATGCAAAGCCCAGAAATAAAGTAAGAAGTACTGAGGATAGCACCCACCAGAAAAGCAATTCACAGAAACAGGTTAGCAACATGAGAAAACCAGTCCAAAATGCAGAAAATGTATATACATACACAAATCGTCCTAGAATAAACCCCTGCATGCTTATATTACGAATTCCTGGTCACAAAACATCTTTGGGTCTTAAGAAAAAAAAACATTAAGCTTAGAGATCCGACTATAATTTCAATCAATGTTTACGATTTTGTCTTCATTAATCAATTCTGGGTCATCATGTGTGTGGCATCCATCAAAGTCTCCAACCAATCCTAAGTTATTTTTCTGGCAGCATTAACCAAACTTTCATTCTCAAATTTCTGCTTTTATTACACCAATATTGTTCAATGCTCTTATTAACCTACCTAAACAAGCTGGCTGAAAATGACCAGTAACAACAAGATGTAGCACTAATCGAAGCCTAGTTGTCGAGTCTCTGCGTCTACTTTGAAACATAAATGATTACTTACAGTTGGTAGTATCCAGCAAACATCAGTAATAGCTGGTCACATACTGACCACATGCTGTTTTTTTAATTAGAGTTGAAAACAGGGGGTTGGTTATTGCGAGATAATCGCAGGCCTGGGGGCCATTAAAAGGCGTGTCATCCACAGGCATGCAATAACCTAACAGTGACCCAGTTCAGCTAAGTACAAGTTTCACCACAGTTTTCAATCTTTTTTGGTTGCCTCAATCACCTGAACAGGTGGTCTTTTTAATACCGATTTCTTTTGCTTAAGTAAAGCTCTCCAAAGTAAAAAATTCTCGTTTAACAAAATACAAAAGACGATAATCTGCGTTTTTTCCTCCAATGCTACATGACTAAAGAAATGAAACACCTGCATCACTGATTTATTACGTACAGTTAAAATACATGTATAATCATTCCATGTCAACTTTTTGGGCTTGTTAAGTTCCAGTTATTTGGGGGAGATAAGTTATACCAACTTGTGAAATTGTAAACTCCTCAATGCTGAATTTTTCAGTTAAGTACTCCCCCCATCCCCCCATTGCAGATTGCGATAGCAGCCACCAAATAGTTCTTATGTTTTGGGGTTTAGATCTGGGTTTATTGTATCCACACTGTTAAACCCATTTGGGAGAATTTAATACTTCCCACACAGAAACTCACAATTGCACATCTGCAAGTATATTCACACAGTGTAACCACAAATATTGTTTCTTGTAAACCTATCCCTTTAATTAAGGAAGGGAATTGACTCACATTGAACTAAGTTTTACGTAAGTAGGCAGTGCAGAATGGCAAGTCTATCACTATTTGTTTGCTTAGTAGATACCTTTATCCGGGAAGGCTTGGGATATAGAAAACGTAGATCAAGAGTGAGTACAAGGAACAATTGTGTGGGTACAATGTAAAACCAAACTAAAATTATGGATTGCACAAAAGCACAAAACTGAAAGAAGTACAACAATCTATTCCGTGTTAAACAAGAAACCAACCAACCTGCAAAACACCAGCATTTACTAAGCTATGAACAAGATATAAAATTGAGTACAAAAATTAGTTTCCTCTTCAGAATGCTACAAGTGAAGTCTGTCTCAGCATGATACAGCCAACTGTGACAAGCCCTAATACGGCCAAGATAGCTGTCCATGGCTGCCAATCTTTACTTTATATGAACATTAATAAAATGACAAGTTACATATACTATAGTAGTGTGACTGAAAAAATATTGCAACTGTTCAACTTAACTCTGACACAAACCCGAAATGGTGCCCATTCTAAAATGGAAAATTCACAATGAAATTAAACATTTCAATTAAAACCATTCATATGCTAATTACATTAATTCTGCAGCAATTGATCTTTCACTTATTTGCAATTTCCATTACTGTTTGAACGTGGCATAATGTTAATGAAAACCTAAATATATTAGATTAAAAACCTATTTAGTATAAACAAGGCACTAAACAGTTGCATTTTCAGAGTAATTGGTTTAGACCGTATAATTACATCAACCTAAGAAAACACCAGGTTGATTCAGCACTGTTCCGAGTTTTAGTAGAAAAGGGGAAATCCTAACAATTAACAGTGAAGTAACAATTACTTATCCCTGTTGAGGTTCTCTATTTGTGTAGACACAACAAGAGACTGATTAAATTGATCATTTCCACAGTTACAGTACTGTTGGGCTAAAACTATTTTGATGGCTGTAAATATGTTCACTTGTATTCCCTGTGCTTGAGCATTCCAATTCATTAAGATGCATTCAACCACTCAGACAAAGCAAGCACGGATTTTGTCACCGGTATCCAATAAAAATGTAAAAAAAAAAACATTTTGCATTTCTTATTAAAGTAAAAGCGAGAACCATTTTCTCCCCGAACGCACTTCCAAGGAGAACACACACTGATGCAACAGCAGAGCTGAGGATCAACATTTGAAGTTCGTTAAATGCCCTAGAATTCAGTCGATGCAAAAAAAACAAATAAAGCAGCCAAATATATCTGAAAAACATGCAGGGCACTAGGGTGAGGTTTCAGAGGACTGCAAGTACTCCTCTGCAGATCTCTTCCCACATATTATATTATCTGGCACCCGCCAACATTTCGTGCTTAGAGAGCTGAACCTCCGCCAGGACTTTCTGAAAGGGAGGTCAGACAGTTCCTTTTCGTTGCCATTTTCACTCAGGATTTTGTGCTGCATCTTCTATTAACGAATTACACGCACAAAAAAAACACAAGGAAAAAAGAAAAACATCAAAGAAGAATCTCTCTCTCAGCTTTGTGCCCTCTCGCAGAGTACCTCAGCAGAAGACTTGGATGTCTGAAGGTGAGGCTGCTGTAAAGCACTATAGGGTGGCGTCTTTGAGATCTGAATTCCACTCCGCAGGCCTCAGTAGAAAGAAAAAGATGTTGAAGTCCCAGGAATCTGACCTGTGAGAGCTTGGGGCAGCAGCTTTGCATGGTTGTCCATTATTATTTAAATTGTTTCTGCACTTGAGTCATTCATTGACAAACACCTTAGTCCTCATTATACATCAACGTGTGAGTCGGCCTCAGCCTCAAAGTCCCAGTCTTTTCACATCCAGCTAGTGCAAGCCCCTCATCTTAAAAACAACAAAGGCCATTTACATTAAAATTATGAGGCCTGTGTACAACCTATCACAAAAAGATGTTATTCATAGGTTCTGTTTGGGGCCGAGCTTCTTTTGTTTGACTTAAAAAGGCATCAGAAGTAGTTCTTTATAGTACGTTTGAGTGGACTGTTTTTTTAACCGATATGGAGGTAGATCTTGCTGATCTACTAACAGGGGGTCCTACCCTTATATCACAGAGCTCTACAGTCAACTCCCACAGCTTTGCTTTTGCTGAAGGATTACATGCAAAACAGCCCTTCTATTGTCCTGGTATTTGCAGCTTTATCAGTGCACCGCAAACATGAGCAGACAAACTGATTTAGGCATGTCTGGTTTACAATCCAAGAAGAGATATCAAAATCTACATGGAAACTAAAATACATACAATGCGTCTTTAAAAGACAACGAACCCCTCACTCTTTTAGAAGTAAAAAATAGTGACTGCCTACTTAGGGAGTTTAGGGAAAAGTGACTTACCTAGCATTTAATTGTCCTCTCTTCCTTAAAATGAATTCCCACAATTAAGGTGAATCCTTTGTAGCACTACACACAAAAGCTCTGAGAAAAGGAATCAGTGTTTCATTTACTTTTTACAAATACTGTTAAACAGGAAATGTCTGGCAAAAAAGCTGGAGGTGTCAGACTGCAGGGGGCAGAGACATTAGGTGTGATCTCTGCCTGAGCACACCTGACACTCGTCCATGAGCTCTTGTGGCACAGATATGCAACAATTCCGGTAAAGTAAATGCAAGAGTGGCACCTTCCTTCTACCCAGTCACAATTCAGACCAACTTGCCCAGAGTGATTTTTGTACTCAGACACTCATTTTGCATTCAGACACAGGGAAATAAATCAAGTTCTTTCCCTCCTTTATTACTAAACTTTAATTTACATAGACTGGAAATAAGATGCATGTGTAAAGAATTT